GCTCCGATGAGGAGACAGGGCAACTTGGAATAGGGGATGAGCAGTGGAAAGTCGGAGATAGTGTCCTAATCCTTCTCTAGACCTTGAGCAGATCATCCTCTCTTTGAGCCTCATCTATCAGGAAAGGGGTTGGCCAGATAACTTCTTCAGTATAAAGTCCTATCACATGTTTGCAACAAGACTTTGGTCAATTCCCTTAAGCGTCTGGAGTCTAATTCTTCCTGCTTGAGAGGCAGTGGCACGTGGTGGCCAAGAGCTCTGGAGAAAAGCTGTCTTGGTTTGAATCTCAGTTCTGCCACTTCTAAACATTTTCCCCCAACATTTTGTGATGACAAATTTTAAACACAGAAAAGCCAAATGGGTTGTTTAGTGAACACCTGTGTAGCCATCACCTAGATTCATTTTATCCACATCTGTTCATCTAGTCAGTTCTCTGTTCACCAATCCATCTTGTTATTTATGTATCTCAAAATGAATTGCAGTCGTTAACGCAGTTCCTCTTCAGCATAATTCTGCCACATTTTAGTTGGGTGATCTTGGGTGAGTCAATGTCTCTTTATGTATGTGGACCTACTGGTACACCTAATGTTGTTGTAAAGTTAATGTACATAAAGTACTTAGGGCCAAGCACCAAGTAATTGTTACCTATTGTTATCGGAAAATTGAGACACTGCAGGACTCACTGTTCCAAAGCAATGGTCTCCAAATCCACTTTTCCCCAGAAAGACCAATTGTCTGGATGCCGCTTCTTAAACAGGATGCAAGATTAAGGAGTCTAATTCTTCCTGCTTGAGAGGCAGTGGCACGTGGTGCAGCTCAATAAACTGAGAACCTCAAGAGAGCACATGGCACTTCTTACCAATAGTTGGCAACTAACTACAGTGTTGTCTCTCCTTTTGATGCCTCAGAGACTGACTGTCACAGTTTCCAGCTCCCACAGCAAAACGCTGTCCTTCACCTTCAGTTGTGCCATGTGCTCTCTTGAGGTTCTCAGTTTATTGCCGCTTCTTAAACAGGATGCAAGAAAACTTACACAAGAGATTGTTTCAATGTGCCCAAGTGCTGTTACTGAATGGTAGGAGCTTTGCTGTGTCACTGAATTGTAGTGAAAACATTCGGACCAAGAAAACAGAAGGCTTTGCCTCACGATCAAGTCATCTACATATATCGTTCTTTGTCACATTTTTCTTCACAAATAGTTCCAAACTTAGTGGAAGCATAAATAAAACACCTATTGCCTTGACTTAACTATTTGTATTATCCTTTTTTCTGATCCATTTCGTACAGATAGCATGGCAATTCATCCTAAACAATCTCAGCATGTGCCTCTGAAAAGTAAGGTTGTCCTCCAGCACACAATACTCTTGCCACAAACCTAATTCCTTAATATCATCTAATATAAAGTCCAATGCCTTTTATTAGAGAACCCAGTTAAGACTCGTGCATTATATTTTGTTTTTATGTCTCTTTTATCTCTTTCAATCTAGAACAGTCCCAAAACTTTCTCCCTTCATTATTTACCTAATATTGGCCTTTTGGAGAGACCAGGCCAGCTTTTGTGTAGAATACCCTATATTCTAGATTTGTCTGATTGTTCCCTCCTGTTATCCTTTGCTCCATATCGTGCATTTCCTGTAAACTAGGAATAATCTGTTCAATTTCATTTCCAGAGTTGGATATAAGGGCATATTTTATTTGTTAATATTTGAAGATTTTCCTCCTTTCTCTTCATGAGGAAATTTAAGTGGGATAAAAAATGGCAAATGGGCCCAGCCAGAGTGGCTCAGTTGGTTGAGCATCATCCTATGCACCTGAAGGTCTCAGGTTTGATTCCTGGTCATGGCCCCTGGGTTGTGGGTTTGACCCCCAGTTGGCATGTATGGAAGGCAACAGAATCGATGTTTTTCTCTCTCTCTCTCCAAATCAATCAATAAAAAATATTTTAAATGGTAAATGGTGGGTCAATAGAAACATGGTTTGTTAATGAGTTTACTTATTAATAAAAGTTAAACTCAAGTTATCCCTTCAGTATTTTTAGATATATTATTAAAAACAAGTGTAACCTCCATTATCCCACTAAAGGTTTATTTCACTGCAATTTAGAGGCATATTGACACTCTTCACCCTTCCATGCCATGTTTGTGAACCAGCTGCCAATTCAAAGGAATCACTATAATGTTAATAAACTCAATGCCAATTTTAATTTCTTTTTTAAGTTGCTCTATTAATTTTACATTATGAAAAGAATATTTTTTCCAGAAACTAAGTGAAATTGCCTTGCTGGACAGAGAGTTTTACACTGAGACAAAACATTATTCAATTAGAAACTAGTAAGAGGAAACAGCAAAAGGTTTACAGAAAAGTAAATCACAAAACTACTAGCTTTTGGAGCAGAGGCCGAATTATTAGCCTCAGTGAAAACCTTAGGATTCAAGATATAAAGCAAAAGTCATAATGATTATCAGGGTTAGGAGTTTGGAAGCATATAACACGCCTCATTTGCTGCTCCCTAGTCTTTCTCCTGATATCCATCTGCTGTTTTGTGATCTTTTCTACACTATCTCCCACTGCATTGTGATCAACACACTTGTTAGATATGGCCCCCTGAAAATTAGGGAGAAGTTGCTTAACCCGCCCCAGCCTGACATTTCTTCCAGGCTTCTGGGCTTTGCCTCCTCCCAAAGTGCGAGGTTCCTCCTCATTCTGCACAAGGACTTGGTCCCCTCCTTCGTTTTCATGTTGAGCATTTTCCATATTGAGATTTTTTACTGCTTGTTCCTCTTTGGACTCCATTGCTCCTGCTCACCTTTGCCTCTGGGGGCTTCCTGGATGGGCTGCGTGCCCTCAGGGCCACTGGGAGCTGCAACCAAGAAGGGTGCAAGCCTCCTCAGAGTATCGCCAATTTTACTTTCAAGTTGAAAAGAATCTATATATATTAAAGCCTAATATGCAAAGTGTCCCCTCAGGAGTTCGACCGACTGGAAGTTCGATTGCTCACTATGACATGTGCTGACCACCAGGGGGTGGCGGGAATGAAGGGAGGCCTTGGCCAGCAGCCAGCAGCTGCTAAGGAACCTACCTGTGCACAAATTTTGTGCACTGGGCCTCTAGTATTCCCATAACACTTCTACCTTTTAGAAGTGATATTTTTCTTTTGTTTATAGTTTATTTTAAATGATGATTCTGCTTTCTTGTTACTTTTTGACTCTGAAGGGGTTTAAAACTGGTCTCCCCAAGGTGTCCTCTCTGGCATGTGAATTATTTTTAGCTGAACGCATCAAAACCCTGCAGGTTCACAAGATACTTTTATCTCTCCTTCAAAGAATTTTAATTAGGGGCCATAAAAACAGTTATCACTAGAAATAACCTTTCAGTACTTATCTGTAGTGCAGGGCAACTTCTAATTACTGAACATCTGTTCTTCTCATCTCGTGACTAACCTTCCTCTCTTGTGAAGCCCTAAGGCAGTGATGGCAAACCTAAGACACTGGGAGCTGTGACACCCCTGACACACGAACTCATTTTTTGGTTGATTTTTCTTTGTTAAATGGCATTTATTTTTTTTATTTTTTTATTTTTTAAATATATTTTATTGATTTTTTACAGAGAGGAAGGGAGAGAGATAGAGAGTTAGAAACATCGATGAAAGAGAAACATCGATCAGCTGCCTCCAGCACATCTCCTACTGGGGATGTGCCCACAACCCAGGTACATGCCCTTGACCAGAATCGAACCTGGGACCTTTCAGTCCGCAGGCCGACGCTCTATCCACTGAGCCAAACCGGTTTTGGCGGCATTTAAATATATAAAATAAATATCAAAAATATAAGTCTTTGTTTTACTATGGTTGCAAATATAAAAAAATTTCTATATGTGACACGGCACCAGAGTTAAGTTAGGGTTTTTCAAATTGCTGACACGCCGAGCTCAAAAGGTTCGCCATCACTGCCCTAAGGTGATGCTTAGCTCGAAATGCCATTTATACATCATTTTAACTTTCTGTCTTTGAATCACTCATGTGTGTGGGGTATCTGACTCTCTCAGTATGTGGGATTCCCATACGTATTTATGTAATTAAATTTGGTCATTTTCTCTTGTTAGTCTGTCTCATGTCTATTTGAGTTATAGACCAGCTGAAAGAACATAGCAGGGTAGAAGAAGGTTTGTTTCTTCCATGCAACCTCTAAACCCTCAGAAGAACTAGAAAAGGAACAACAATTCACAAAAACTGAAATCATTAGACTCTAAATGACTGGTCAATCATTTGCTAAATCAGATTTTTTCCACATGGTCTCTCCATTACTGCTAAAAATAATTTACTCTTGAAATTAATTGGATTTTATAAAAAAGTACCTTAATGCCCCTGCCGGAAGCTGGTCCAACCTTGCTGCTTGACACAGTCGCTGCAGGGAAGAAACATCTGCACAGCTTATGTTTCAAGGGATCTGGCGTATATGGCGTATGTATGCTCCCCCTCTTAACGCTTCTGATCTGGGGCAAATTCTAGACTAAAGAAATGATCGTCTTGGGTGAATGTTACAATAGGTGAAACTAAGTACAGAGTCTGTTTCCTTATCTGTTAAATGGTGGGAAATTCTACTCATCGTGCAGAGTTATTGGGAAGATTAAGTGAGTTAATGAAAGTAAAGCGTTTTCAACACACACACACACACACACACACACACACCCCACCCACACACACAACTAAGTGCAGTTTTTTGGTGAGTTTTTTTTTATTAATATATTTTATTGATTTTTTTACAGAGAGGAAGGGAGAGAGATAGTGAGCTAGAAACATCGATGCGAGAGAAACATCAATCAGCCGCCCCCTGCACATCCCCCGCCGGGGATGTGTCCGCGACCCAGGCACATGCCCCTGACCGGAATCGAACCCGGGACCCCTCAGCCCACAGGCCGAAGCTCTATCCACCGAGCCAAACCGGCCTCGGCTTTCGTGAGTTTTTTGTTTGTTTGTTTTTTGAAATGTCCTACTATCACCTTCAGCTATCAATCATTTCTGATAGCTCAAGCAGAAGGTCATCTTCGTCTGTCCCAGGATCCAGGTGGATCTCGGCTTCCAATTTGCCTCCTGAAATCTCCCATACGAGTTTCTCAAAACCATCCTCCACAGAGAGGGGGGGCTCTCCTGTGGAAGCAGTGCTGGGTCGGCGAGTTTTCGCGGCCATTTGGGAGGAGGAAGGGCCGGATACTTCTGGCGGAGAGGGCTCTGACGAGGATTGGGCTGGAGGCAGCACAAGACTGTCTCTGGGTCCGCCTGTCTCAGGCCCAGTGACCGCTTTGTCCTCAGAGATGAGCGGGACCACAGCCATGGCTGCTTTTGGGGCCGGGCTTTCCTGCAGGACCCCGCTGGCCCGGAGCCGCTTCACCGCCGCCCTGACTGCAGGGTGGGTCTCCGCTGCCTTGCGCTTGGCGGCCAGTTTGGGGGAACAGACCACTTGAGCCACAAACGGCTTCACACTCGCTTTGGGTTTCGCTTTGACCCTTTCCTCCGAGGTCTGTGCCGCACACCTCACATCCAATGTCGAGTCGCCGGTGCCTGCGGTTTCCACCTCTGCCTTCTGGGGTGACTCGGTGGGAAGCCGCTTTGCCAGACTCCGTGTGATGCTCGGCGCAGTGGCCAGCACTGGCGGGCCTGCTGGCTGGGCATGACCCGCCTCTCCGTCTCCCCAGGGGGATGGCAGGACAGATTTTTCCTTCTGTGAGGTTCCCCTCCCTGGCTGTTTCTGGATGTGCTTTTCTCGCATCGTCTCACATTTCTTGACTGGAATTTTAATGCCCCCTCCTGTTGTCTCATTTGAAGCCTCTTTAGCCTCGATTCTAGCAACACTGCTCTGACACGCAACTTGACTTTCTTCTTGAGGTTTCTTCTCTTCTTTTATACCTGACTTTTCGGTGATTCGGAAAAGGCCCCTCGCCCCCGGGGTGGCCTCGGGCTGAGGCTGGGAGCTGGGGCTGCTCTTGGAGCTCTGCTGCACCCTCCGTGCCTTCTCCCGTTTAATTTCCTCCAGCGTCTTGACATGCACCTCCTGCATAGACTTTGTTCTCCCTGCAGGCTCCTCTGATTGTCCTTTGTTGGCCACCAGTGGTGGCAAAACCGATGATTTTTTAGTATCACTGTCCTTCTTTAACTTGCCACAGGTGACATTCCTTTTGCTTTTCTGTCTCTCCGCTTCCTGCTGCCGGTGTTTCTTTTCAGCCAGGACCTCAGAGGAGGTTTTGATTCGAATGGTGGAAGAGCTTCTTGCCCCTGAGGTAGGATCACCAGCTTTTGAAGGGCCTCCTGCCTTAAGTTTAGTTTGCAATTCTCCGCGTTTCTGACTGGCTCTTTCCAGAAGGATTTCTGCTAATGTCTTCACGTGGATCTCGCCAAGGTCAGTAACTCTCTCTGCTGCCTCCTCGTTGTTTTGACCAGCTGACACACCTAATCCTTCCTTTAGAGACTTGGAAACTTGAACTCTCTTTGGTGTTTTGTCAGTTTCTGAAGCATCCACTTTCTTCCCTAGCCTCCGTGCAAGGCTACGCTTAGGTGGAGGATCACTGTCACCACCTTCAGAAAATTTTCGTTTCCCCAGTCTCTCGGTGAGACTCAGTCTTATGAAGGGTTCTTCTCCTTGTTTGTTGGAGAGAGTTCCTGTCCTCACCGCAGTCCGGACATTCTCTTTTTCGGGACCTGAAAGGGGCTGAGGCTGGAGTAAAAGACTGGAAACTCCTGAAGAACCTTCACCTTGCATCTTGGACCTTTCCTGCATTTTCTTTGACTTAATTTCCTCAAGAGTTTTCATTCCAACATTCAAACTTTCACCTTGTTTTAAATTGACCCCGGGTTTCTGGGCAGAAGCCCCTCGTGATCCATTATGAACTTTGGGAGTTGGGTGCAGGGTTGGTGTTTTGGTTTCATCACCTTCCTCAGAAAACTGATCATCATCGTCTTCATCATCATCATCATCTGCAGCATTGATCACAACTGGCGGATGTGTGGGGGTAGGAAAATTTTCTGAACTTTCTACTTTCATCACACTTCGCAGTTGAGGGGAGGGATCAGACTGGACAGACAATTTGTGTTGTTGAGCTGTGAGCTGGGAAGCCTTCACTTCCCCCTCTGGTGACTCAGGCACAGTGGGCAACACAGTTTTGCTTGGAGGTAGAAAAAGGCCATCCACATAACGTCCTCTGTTGTGATGAAAAGCGCAGTTTAGCTTTCGGCATCCCCCTGGTTGATTTTCCCAATAACAAGGAATCTCACTCCGTTTTTTATCAATCTCCATGTGCCGAAACCTGCATACCCGTCGAAAACAGCGTCCTTCTTGCCATAATGTGCAAACAGTTTCGTTTCCTAGTGCAGCTGCACAGTGACGGAATGGACAGCTGTCACCTTTGGTACATGTAGAATAGAAAAAAAAATAGCAGTCTTCTCCTTGATGAGGCATGCTGGGTAGATCCTGAGATCAGGAATGGCTTCTTGAAAACAAGCCACTGTTTTCTCAAGGTGAGGACCAGCTTCGAGTCCTCTTGAAATGGACTTAGTCCTCCAAAAGACACCTCAATCACAGAAATCGCCTTTAAAATGTAATGATTAGCTGGTTGCCCTCAACAGGAACATCTGTGTCTTCACTGAGTTCCAATCTATCACACACTTAGTACTGGTCAATTTTTCAGGAAATTTCTGGGCAGGGAATATCCCCACATCGAACCGAGGACACTATCGCCGGCTCCCGCTTGCTGCCACGTCTTTCTTCTTTCTTGGCCGCTGCCCTCCGCCACTGCCGGGGTCCAGCCCCAGCAGGTCCAGGGGTTCCCAAAGGCGTGGACAGAGTCGGTGAAGAAGGAATGACACGGAGACAACAGCCTTCAGTTGATCAGCAGCCTAGCCAGGTTCTCTTTTGATTGTCCTGTTACATCTGTATTTATACCATTTGATTTTAATCCTATCCATTCTAAGCTACAAGGAAGTAACTGAAGGAGATTATCCTAAGTAAAGTTTATGTAGCTGAAGCATTATTGTTCGTAGTTAAAGTGATTAACTACCCGCCTGGCACTTAGTTAAGGGGTTTTACTGATGCCCTTCCTTTGTCCTGTTAATCCCTAACTGCAGGGGGAAAAAATCCTCACCTGGGGAAACAACCTTTCTCCCTTCTTTATTTTAGGTTAAGCCTTGGAAACTAACCTGTTGGCAAAGTCACAAACATGTCTTCTGAGTTTTAAACAACCCAATCTGAGAGGTGGCGGCTGATTTACAGGCGCTATCCTTTAAAAAATAAAAAAAAGGGGGGGGGGGAATTTGCCGGAAGCTGGTCCACCCTTGCTGCTTGACACAGTCGCTGCAGGGAAGAAACATCTGCACAGCTCATGTTTCAAGGGACCTGGTGTATATGGCATATGTTTGCTCCCCCTCTTATGTGTTTTAAACAGGACCACCTCCCGGAGAAAGGTTGTTTCCCCAGGTGAGGATTTTTTCCCTGCAGTTAGGGATTAACAGGACGAAGGAAGGGCATCAGTAAAACCCCTTAACTAAGTGCCAGGCGGGTAGTTAATCACTTTAACTACGAACAACCTTTGAATGGAGATAACAAATGCCCTAACCTTTGGAATAGAATGGATAGGATTAAAATCAACTCGTATAAATACAGATGTAACAGGACAAAAATAAAAAAAGAACCTCGCTATGATGATTAACTGAACGCTGCTGTCTCCATGTCCTTCCTTCTTCGCCAACTCCGTCCACGCCTTTGGGAACCCCTGGACCTGCTGGGGCTGGATCCTGCATGCCCCCTTAATGTATCCTGTTTCAGAACTAGAAACAGAAATTATAGCGTTCACAAGACAATTTAGTAAATGATATGAATGTTATTTACAGATATTTGGAATTTGCTTTTCATTAACACATTGAAGTTTTGCATAAAGCTAAAATGCAAACACATTCTTCATTTAAAAATAAGCAATCTTGCCAAAACTGGTTTGGCTCAGTGGATAGAGCTTCAGCCTGTGGGCTGAAAGGTCCCAGGTTTGATTCCGGTCAAGGGCATGTACCTTGGTTGCAGACACATCCCCAGTTGGAGATGTGCAGGAGGCAGCTGATCGATGTTTCTCTCTCATCGATGTTTCTAGCTCTCTATCCTTCTCCCTTCCTCTCTGTAAAAAATCAATAAAATATATATATTTTTTAAAAAGCAATCTTAGCCCTAACCAGTTTTGCTCAGTGGATAGAGCCTTGGCCTGCGGACTAATGGGTCCTGGGTTCAATTTCAGTTAAGGGCACTTGCCCAGGTTGCAGGCTCGATCCCCAATAGGGGGTGTGCAGGAGGCAGCCAATCAATGATTCTCATCATTGATGTTTCTCTCTCCCTCTCCCTTCCTCTCTGAAATCAATAAAAAAAATTTTTAAAACAGCAATCTTATTTAAAATTAGTAAAAAGTAATCCTATTTAGGCATAGCTATGAACATCAAGCACAAAGTCGAATACCAGTGTGGGGCTTGGAGAAGACACCCCGCAGTGGTTCCTGCCTACTCTGATTCGGGACAATGGCGACAGACCTCCCCCACCCTGACTCAGACAGGCACTTACTCACAGTCCTCCTCTGGTTCAGTCAGCGTAGTGGGCAGCATTGAGTTATGGGAAATTTGTGAGCTGGTTGGAATGCACGGTCCAAGGCAGAAGTAAATTGGATGATATTTCTTTTCTGAGCTCCTGCGCCTTTGTCATTGTCTCCCATACCATAGGCCCCAAAGCCACACCTCAGAGAACACTTCGGCAGTCCTGTTCCTCCCTAAGCAGTGTCTACAGCCTTGACCACATGTCCTGCCTCATGAATATCATCACTGCCCTCTGGCTGGCACACTGGAAGGACAGTGGTAGGTGCATTGGGTTGAATAGGTTCCCCCAAAGTCATGTCCAATCAGAACCTGTGAATGTGGTCTTTTTGGGATCTTTGCAGATGTAATCAAGTTAAGATGAGGTCACACCTAATACTGGTCACACCTAATCCAGTATTACAAATGTCCTCATAAGAGGGAAATTTGGATACATACATACACACACACACACACACACACACACACACACACACACACGGAGGGAAAGAGGCCATATGACAATGGAGGCAGAGATTGGAGTGATGTCTTTACAAAGATTGGTAGCAAACACCAGAAGCTGAAAGAGACCTGGAAAGATCCCCCCTAGAGCTGCTGGAGGGAGCAGGGCCCTGCTGACACCTGGATCTTAGACTTCTGGCCTCCAGACTGTGAAACAATAACTTTTTGTTGTTTAACTGCCCTGTTTGTGGTACGTTGTTCCAGCAGCCACAGGAAGCTAACACAGGAGGTGTTGATGACTAGTAAAGGCTGCCCTGTCTAAAAGCAGGATAATGACTCAGACCAGAAGGAACATGATCTCACTCATTTATGGATAATAAAGACCATTATAAACTGATGAATAAAAATAGATACAGAGGCAGAACAGCATCGAACAGACTGTCAAACTACAGCAGGAAGGCCCAAGAGGGTTGCGGGGGCGGGAAGGGGGGAGGGTAAGAGATCAACCGAAGAACTTGTATGCATGCATATAAGCATAACCAATGGACACAAGACACTGGGGGATAGGGGAGGCCAGGGGAAGGTCAAGGGGAGAAAAAGGGAGACATATGTACTACCCTTTGTAATATTTTAAACAATAAAACAAAATTAACAAATAAAATAAAATTCTCAAACGGTGAGAGTGACACAATAGGAAGAACATGTGTGGAAGGAGGGCCTTCCTGTCACACCTCAGAATGAAAAAGGAGCATTTGGGAAACTGCTTTGATATGCATGTTTTGAAGCAAACAAAGACATTTTGATATTGCTCTTCTGGGCAACTGTGTTAAACACACATACACACACACACACACACACACAACACCCTAGCTGGTTTGGCTCAGTGAATAGAGCGTCGACCTGGGGACTAAGAGGCCCCAGGTTCCATTCCAGTCAAGGGCAGGCTCCTTCCCCACCCGGGCCCTCCCTGGTCAGGGCTCATGAAGGAGGCAACCAATTATTGTGTTACTCTCACATCGATGCTTCTCTCTGTCTTTCCCTCTCTCTTTCCCTCTCCCTAAAAATCAATGGAAAAATATCCTCAAATGAGGATTAACAAAAAAACAAAAACCATGTCAATATGTGAAATTGTAACTTTATTTCCAAGGAGTGCTCACAACAGACGTCCTGATCACCTCACCCATCACTCCCCTCAGCCCTCCCTACTGGAGAGAGGCTTGGCCTGGGGAGGAGGCAAGTTCATTCAATCCTTCAATGAAATAATTCAACAAATTTCAAAAGGATGAAAGTTAAATGTGTCGGGGGTTCTGTTTGTTTTTTTGAGGCCAAGTAAAAAAGTCTTCACAAGAGCTCAGTGAGTTAGCGTGTCATCCCGTACACCAAGGTTATGGGTTCAATCCTGGTCAGAGCACATACAAGAATCAGCAAATGGTTGCATCAAATGAATCAACAAATAAGTGGAACAACAAATCGATCTCTCTTTCTCTCTCTCTCCCTCCTTCTTCTCTCTCTCTCAAATCAATTTTTAGAAAATTTTAATGTCCCCCTCCCCTGCCAAGAAAGCAACCCAGTCACATGCCCTGGAGCAGAATGCTACCTTTACATCATCAATTACACCAAAATCACAAACATTTTTTCTCCCCCTTTGGTCTCATTGTTTGCATACCAATAAGGAGAAACACATGGCACGGCACTTTGATGTTAATTACTCTATTTCTTACAATCTTTAACAAAGACCCTATCACACCAGATTCTTTGGCAATTCTTTAATTTAAGAAGAATTTACAAATGAAGTAAAAGCCAACTTGTGTATTTTTTTAAGGCAGAAATGAGAAAAGCATGTGAAAGTGTCTTTTAACCTTTCCTTGAAGGGGAAGTCTTTAAAATGATAGCTACCAGACCTAAAATCTGCATCCAGAATTTTAGTCCTTCTGTGGTGCAACCACATAATGCAAGCTGTGTCTTGTGGTAACCTGAAATACACATTTTCTAATGACCTACAGTTTGGGGTTAAATTAAATATTGAAGCAAACTCCAGAAATATCTACAAGGAAACACACCAGCAATATTGTATTGATTGTGCTAGGCTGTTTAATAATTAATTCACTCACCTCGGTTTTTGAATGTCCTTCTGTTTATCCCTCAGCACAACTAACAATTGAGAAAGGGGCTGCCTCTCACAAGTCCTCACCTGGCATTTCAAATTCTAAGCAGAGTGCTAGTGTGGGGAAAAACGAAGAGAACTGATCGCTTTGTCTCTATTTCATGCTAACCACCTGGAGCTCCTGCGCTCATCTCTTCTTAGGGCAAAAAAGGACCAAATTTGTTCTTCCCCTCAACAGGGTGAATGAATATCCCAGGATTATTCTAGAGATTGTGTAACACATAGTCTGTTCAAGCATCATA